AAACATTTTAAACACAGCAGAATTTCTTTCAAAATTGGAGTCAGTCCCTCAAAACCTGCCACTGAGTTATCAACTAAGTCCACGTAACATTTTAAATCCTTCATTGTGACTTCGACAGTCTTCAATGCGTCTTCGCCAGGAGCATATTCCACCTGGAGAAACCACTGTCTTTGCTCATCCGTAAGAAGCAACTCCTTATCCATTCAAGTTTCATTCTGAGATTCCAGCAATGCAGTTGCATCTTCAGGCTTTACTTCTGATGTTACTTCTCCTGCTATTTCTACCAGCTCTCTGCATTTACTTCCTCCACTGAAATTTTGAGCTGCTCAGTGTAATCTGTGAGGGTTGGAATCAATTTTCAGGCTTCTGTGAATGATATTTTGACTTCTTCCCATGAATCACAAATGCTCTTAATGCATCTAGAATGGTAAATCTTTTCCAGAAGGGTTTCAATTCACTTATCCAAGGTCCAGCAGAGAAATTACTATTTATGTCAGCTATAGCCTGACAAAGTACATTTTGTAAACAATAAGACTTGAAATTTGGAACTACTCCTTGACCCATGGGCTACAGAATGGATGTTGTGTTAGCAGGCGTGACAACAACATTAATCTTATTGTACATCTCCATCAGAGTTGCTAGGTGACCAGGCACATTGTCTGTCAATGAGCATCAATATTTTGAAAGAAATATTTTTTTCTGGGCAGCAATACTCAACAGTGGGCTTAAAATATTCAGTAAACCATGTCGTAAACAGATGTGCTGTCATCCACGCTGTGTTGTGTTATTTGCAGAGCACAGGAGGAATAAATTCAGCATAATTCTTAAGGGTTCTAGGATTTTTGCAATGGTAGATGAGGACTGGCTTCAACTTAAAGTCACCAGCTGCTCTCGCCCCTAACAAAAGAGTTGACTTATTTTTTGAAGTTTTGAAGCCAGGCAATAACTTTTCCTCTTGAGCTATGTCCTAGATGGCGTCTTCTTCCAATAGAACACTGTTTCTTCTACATTAAAAATCTGCTGTTTCCTGGAGGCACCTTTATTAATTATCTCAGATCTTCTGGATAACCTGCTGCAGCTTCTGCACTTACACTTGCTGCTTCACCTGGAACATTTTTGTTAGAGGCTGTTTCTTTCCTTAAACCACATGAACCAACTTCTGCTAGCTTCAGACTTGCCTTCTGAAGCTTCCTCATCTCTCTCAGCCTTCACAGAATTGAAGAGTTAGGGCCTTGTTCTGTATTAAGCTTTGGTTTAAGGGAATGTTATGGCTGGTTTGATCTTCTATCCAGACCACTAAAACTTTCTTCATATCTGCAATAATGCTGTTTTGCTCTCTTACCATTCATGTGCTTACAGCAATTGCACATTTAATTTTCAAGAACTTTTTTTTTGCATTCACAACTTGGCTAACTATTTGATACAACAGGTCTAGTTTTTGCCCTGTCTTGGCTTTGAAATGTCTTCCTCACTAAGCTTTATTGTTTCTAGCTTTTTTTTTATTTAAAATGGGAGACTTATCCACAAATGACAAGC